ATGTCTTTTTATCCTTGGAGTACCTAGGCTTAATATAGTTTGCTTTCTGTCTGGAAATAGTTGTCTACTTCCAGGTTTTATAATATATCCCATGTATTTAACTTGTTGCTTTGAGATTTGTGCCCTTTTCTGGGAGACCCTATAACCCTGAGTCCTCCAAAATTAAGAATTTCAATGTTATTCTGATCTGAGACCTCCATGAGGGGGGGTTACATATCAACATATCTCCACACTGTAGAATGGCCCCTTCTTTTAGGCATATTTCCCTTAGTTTCTTTCCTAAGGCCTGCGTGAACAAGGGTAGGCTGTCCCAAAACCCCAAAGGCTGGGTTACTACAAAACCCTACACGGGAATATCTGGGTGGACAAGACATCAGTTCACTCATCCTGATGCCTGTGCATATTGTATTTTGTAAGGAACAGGCTTTGTCAACTCCCCATTAGAACGATAGAAAACAAGTTTAGTAAGAGATCTTGAAAGTTAATCTTCTCTGACCTGTTCTTGTGTATCCTTCATGTGTCCCCATCAGGGGCTCCCTCAACCTCAGCCTGCAAAGCTCCAGGGACCAGATATTCACAATTTCCAGAAGCAGCATGGTCTGTCTCAGAGCACTCCTAATTTCCAGAAATTTCTCCATTACATGCAATTAAACTGATCACTTTATAAGTTTCTTCTGCTTCGGAATGACGAATAGAAATTTTGAAGCCAAACTTCATAGGTTCCAATTCCTGCCCTGACAGTAATAGGTCATGTGACTTGGGCAAAAACTTGAGGTCGGCTGCCTCAGTCCCTTCTGTAGGATAGATGTGGATATCAGAACCAGCATTGTAGGGCTGTTGCTAGGAGGAAGCCAGATGGTGCACACAAAGTATCAGGATCTGAGCTCAGTAAATGTTAACCATTTAGTATTTAGTTTAAACTAATAAAAATAAATTTAAAAAAATAATAAAAAAATAAAATAAACAAATGCAGAGATGCCGAAAAATAAATAAATGATAATTTTTAAAAAATGTTTTTTTAATCAAATAGTCTTAACACATCCTACCCTTTGAAATACTTCAAGGAGACTCACGTCAACCCTGCAAGTGTCTCTTCTAAATTCTGTGACTTTCTTCCCATCTTCTCATCTGACACAGCTTGACATGCCTTCACTGTGTTGCTGACTTTCCTTTGGACATGAGTTTATTTATATCCCCTAAATCCAGTCTATTTATACCCCTCCCCTCAGAGAGTGGGGCCCGGAAAAGGATGGAATACTCCACAATGGTATGTCCTGAGCAAGATGGAGAGGGCTTATCACTTCCTTTTTTCTTTATGCTGAAGTCGTGTGAAGGCCACACCAGGTGCCCTTCACTGTTTTTGGTGTTACGGTCACGGCACATGGCTGATGTATGGGGGATTCACTGCTGAGTACATTGAAATCCGCAGTGCTGCTCCCATTCACAGTGGAAAGCAGAGCAATCTGAAGCCAAATCCTACCCCCATCCTACCAGCTGTATGATGCTCAGCACTCTTCTGTGCCTTAATTTCATCATCAATAATATAATTCTAGTTTTCTGCAATCCCACTCCTGGGCAAATATTCAAATACTCTAATTTGAAAAGATATGTGCACGCCAATGTTCATAGCAGCACTATTTACGATAGTAAAGACATGGAAGAAGCCTAAATGTCCATGCAAAGATGAGTGGATAAGGAAGATGTAGTAGGTATATGGAAGGGAATATTACTCAGCCATAAAAAAGAATGAAACAATGCCATTTGCAGCAACAGGGATGGATCTGGAGATGATCACAGTAAATGAAGTATGTCAGACAAAGAGAGTTTTCATGCCACTTATATGTGGGATCTAAAATATGATACCAGGGAACTTCTTTACAAAAAAAATCAGACTCACAGACACAGAAAACAAACTTACGGTTGTCGAAGGGGAAGAGGGAAGGGGAGGGGAAAATATACACTACTATACATAAAATAAACAACAAGGATCTCATTGTATACCACAAGGAAACTATACTCAATATTTTGTAATAACCCATAAGGGAAAAGAATCTAAAAAAGAATATATATCTATATATACTCTATACATACATATAGCTGAATCACTGTTCTGTACAACTGAAACTAACATAGCATTGTAAATCAAATGTACTCCAATAAAATTTTGTTTTAAACATGGTGTGATGATAACTACACCTACCTTACAGAGGTTATTGAGATTGAAAAGTGTTAGTACATGTCAATTATTGGCAGTGTGCCTGGCACACAGTAAGCCAAGCGCAAATGTTATGTATTATTATTGCCCTTTAAATTATATTTTCTATCCCCTGTGTTAATTCTGCCCTGATGCAGGTTTCAAAAATACAAATTTGTTTCCATGCAGTTGGTGTATTAGGGGACAATTTGAATGTAACATAGAACTCACATTTGCTCAGGGGTGACTTCGTCTTCAAGAAATGCTAGGAGAATACAGAAAACTGCAGGTGATGAATCAGGCAGAAAGAATACACACAGTACATGTGCGGACATGCGCACACGCGCCCCCCCCCCCCCCCCCC